ACACAGACAAGTATCACGCACCAACATCCGTCCACACAGACCAGTGTCACACAAAACACCCCTCCGCATAGACGAGTGACACACGCAACTATCCCTCCAAATATAAAGGTTCCACACTCAGCCATCCGTCCACACAGACTAGAGCAACATACACTATATGCTCGACACAGACCAGTACCACACACAACCATCCGTACACACAGATCACTGACACACATAATCATTCATCCGCACAGACCTGTGCCACACACATACATTCAAAAAGCATAATGAGGGCAGAGGTATATGTATTCACAGCATAAACATTTCGCTTTCTTCACAAATACCTCACGCAAATTTTGTGACGGACACCGGTATACACCACTTCTGATCACCTGTGACAGAATACAGTGACCGGTATTTATAAAAATAAACATTTCATTCCTTTCGATTTAGATGAATTTGGATTATCAAACAATGTGAGCTTTGCAGCGAAGCAGGTAGGTAAACCGATAACCTTTTGAACGCATTTTCTATAGATAGTCTTTATTTTCAATAGTGAACTATAACTATAGGGCTTTCCATAAACCAGGACAATAGAAATGTACTGATACTGTTTTAAAATCGAATGATATACATGAAATGCCCAACGAAGTTTTTCGCAAAACATTTGTTCCTAACATATGTCATAGTTGCCACAAAATTGAAACAGGCCCATAAGGTCTGTAACATCAACAATAGCTGAGCTCAAATTTATTGTTTCCGCACACAAACACATATGCTCAGTTATTTATATGACGAAAATCCGAGTATTGTGCTGACAATAGGATCAAATTACTACGAAATGAATGATGGCACGTTAAACTCTCCAAGTGTCAACACTTTAGTCAGGTATGTTGAAATAACTTTAACATACAAAGGCATCTATGAAAAAGTATAAATGCTCGGAGAAAATGGGGAAAAAAACTTATCCAGTTATATATTATATTTTCACTTATTTCTCATTGACATTCACATGAAGTAATTTTTAGCAAATAATACATCCCTTTACATCTTGCATCTATACTCCTTCTTCTCATTTTTGATTTCCTGTATGTATAGAAACTCTATCATATCTATTTTGAGCACTAAAGGGAAAAACGATGTTTATTATTTTCGGTTTTTCCCCTTCAATTTTATCTCTATAAATCTTTCAATGTTAGATTTGTAATTTGCTATAGGTTGTGTTTTTGTGCCTAATTGAAATGTGAAATTTGTGTGTTGTGTTTAGGTATGTATCTGTATTAGTATCTAGATTTACAGGTGGTATACTTTTGCATTCTGTGACATCCCTCGAGTATATTATATAACTGGATTCACTCTATTGTGACGTCACCAGGTGGCATCCTTCCTACTTGAGACGTTTTGACTATGAACCATCTGGCTGGTGGGTCAGTAGTAGTGGTCAAACCACTTCTTGTCTGTGTCGGCTCCATCATCGGCTCGTCGTGCCATAGCTAGCTAGATGCTGTTTCGGCAGTTGCCGCCAAACATCTTATGGTTGCACTTCTATCTCTTCCTGTGACTCCTAGTGTCTGCAACATCCTCCAAGAAGATTGGATGGAAACCCCAGAGATTAACTCCACTTCCTTTCGACCGTCTTCTCACGGTACCGTAACTCTATTACGAGAAGAATTTTTGTGACGACATTATGATGTCAGGCCTAAGTGTTGTCTCTACAACGTCTGAGAAGATACGCTTTCTGTACAAGTCAATCTCCCATGATTGAGCTCTGTTCAAGAAAAACGTGTTGTTTCCTTTACCTAGTTCCCCCTGCTTGGCAAACTGTATAACAGACTGCCCTGCTGTACTGTTCATCTTCTTCTTTCCACCCTAGGATGTCATCAAATACTTGCAGCACATTGGCTGATATCCATCGGTATCTCCCTTGCTTTAATGACTTCTGACATCCATAAAAATTGTGAGACATTGTTGGTTGCACGTATGCAGCTCCAGTCCTCCATTCCTTACTGTTGCAGAATGGTAGACGACTGGAGGGTGTCATATACGGATATTAGCATTAATAAGATCCTGAAAGTTTCCATTCTGCCAATATGAGCTTTCTTTTTGTGAAGTCCCATCTGTTCCATACATCCTGCTTGCTCAGTTCGACAGATTTCTGCTTTTGTCCCCCTACTTTTTGTATTTTCCGTTGAACTATCTACCGTTGCTCCTGAATGTTGGCCTTTTCAGACTTTTGGAAAGCGTTAACAGCTGACACCTTGTCTTCCGACACCTGTGAGACCGATTGTGTCCCTCAACTCCAACATACTCTCTGTTACCTTTACACTAGTTGATGCAGCCCACATTCTGCTCTTTCTTGTCTGTATTCTTGCCTCACAGATCTTTGAATCTTTGGAATCCCCCATGTCATCACCAGCTTGCACTTCCACACTTTAAATTCCTCTACGAAATCCATTAGTGTTTGTTTTAGTTATGTAGAAAGTCCGTACAGGTCGTTGTGTGAGGCATATCGGTGCCCCATGCCACGGCCTCAGATACCCATTCGCCATCCTCTCGGAAGACTCAACTATAGTCATCGTAACCTTGTACAGCAAAAGTAGCCATGTTCATCACTGTAAATGAGAAGGGTGAATGTTCTGGTTCCAGCCTAAATCTCCATTTGTTAGGCTTGGATATAGCATCTGAGAATGTTGACCTTGTTCCCTACAGTGCTATCATTCCTACGCATAATCTACAATATGTGAACGAAATTGTGAGACAGTTGTAGGTGAATTTACCTCATTAGTAACAGGTTGTGTTTATCCCCATAAAATCACTAAACTACTGTTGATTCTCCCTGACTGTTGACAGATTGACTATCCCGAGGTGTAACAGTAACAGTATTCGATGTAAACACAACATACTGTTCTGACTTTAATAGGTTCTCGATTTCGCTGTTGTGGTAACGCACAATGCACCAAACACTTTGTGCGCATGCATTGTGCTTACATCGTGCAGACTTCATGCGCACATCGCTTAACGTTGTTCGATCCTACAACTGTACTAAATATAAATAACAAGAAATATCTAAAATAATACGTTGCGTTGTTCACGTTTGCACAAAAGCCTCTGTCAAAATGACGACCATTTGCAACAGTACGCGAACAACATGTTCATACACCAAATGCGGAGAGCACATCTCATTCTATACCATCTAGACTGGCATCGGTCCAGCCCCTAAGAAATAATATCGTAAATGTTGCTCCTGTTAGGAAGTTATGTGCGTTCGTTTCGTTACCTAGAAGGAAAGAGAGCGCTACAATTACAGCCACAACAACATTTTCATGATTTTCGTTCTCTTCAGACAAAAGGGGGGAAAGTTTTATGATAAAGGTGATTTTAATCTTTAAATATCAATCGACATTTTTCTTAAAATGTACTGACGTTTTTAACATCTCATTCTTGACTTCCCCTCAAATGAATTTTGGTTACATAATGATAACATTATTGGTGAATTTCTGTTTGTGATAAAATAAGTATTTAGTTATTTTGTACAGGTTGCCGTTGACTTATATAAAATAAAGTATAATTAAATGGTCAAAGGAAGCAACTCTGTCAAAAGAGCCGATAACGAAGAGATAACAAAACGGTTCGATATAGCAGAAGTAACGATGTTTCAAGATCAAAATCCAATATGGCAGTCAGGACGTCACAGCTTGAAGCGTTTAAAGACAAGAAGCAAAAACCGTTGTCAAAGTCCTTGGTATCTATGCGTTTCAATGGGTTTGCATGAAATACACCACAAGGGTTCTGAGACACCTACGAGGTATATAATTAAGTTTTCGTGCACATGTCAAGATAAATGTAATGTCAACTGGAAAAATTCTTACTTGAATTGCAACCATCTGTGGTTTGTATGTTGATGGAAATGGAAAATATAAGTCTTTGTGCCATAGATTAAAGAGGCCGTAAAGTTGTTAGCCAGCAGTTTCTAGTTGCTAATTACAACACCATTTAATTAAGCTGTACCTTCATATTCTTTTTCATTATGGCGTTATCAATATTACTGTGGATGGAGTAATAATTTTGGGGTATGTACCATATATCTTTTAGCCTGAATACTTACTTAACAAACGACAAATATAAATCATGTTCAACACGTGATTACTATCTTTTCATCTTAGTCATAAGTTAGTGTTCTACGACTGTACCCGGTCTGACCAATGAGGGATAGCTAAAGCTGGATCACGAGCAACGCGTGATCATCATTCCTGTTCATTGGTCTCCGTGACATTTAGCTTGGTACTTAACAAATTAGAATAAAATAAGGCGAATGTGTGAGGGGATTCCTGTCATTTCAATTTCGTTAAATATTTGTCATGTTAAACGAGTTGTAAACCAACCATTCATAAATATTCTATGTCGTTAAAATGGCCATTTATTAATGACATAAGTGTAAAATTATATATATATACTTAAAAATAAAAAGCAAATCCACATCACAACAACATGAATGTGGAATATGGATATATAAATACTTTGTAATCAACAGTTCAGTTAGTTAGATTTGAATATTAACGAAGTTTATATCTCGTCTATTAACCCGTACATACACGTAGGTAAAATGTTGGAAGTGAAAAGGTTAGCAATCAGAGTAAGATAAAATAGTTCATGTTTTTTTTTTTTTTTTTTTTGTATAATGAATACTGTCTCAGCAGGCCTTGTTTCTGGACGAGATAACGAACGTAACATGTTTCAAAGTCTCGTTGTCATTATTACATTACTGTAATCATTTTAAAACCGGCTTCGGGCGCTGAGAATATGTTAATTTATATTGCAACATCATTATGGAACACGTAAAATGATTGGCAGACAACTCCAGCATCTATATAAACAAATCTTTGATTGATTAGAAGGTGATACGTGAGTAAATGCGAGCACAGTGGTATTGTGTATACTCATGAATAGGTTATGTCAACAGTGTGATAATCACACGGTCTAGTCTAACAAGTTATTGTCATAATTGCAGTACCGTGTGGACAATGGGGAAGAAGACCTGGCGATGCAGCATACTGTGTCTATGTGCTGGAATCCTCACCTTCGTGGCTGGAATCGTAATGATTCCACTATTGAGAATCTACATAAATAACATGATAGCGAAGGTAAGATATATATCAATTCTCAAAAGTTTAACTAGGAGAATTCTAAGTAATGTGTGTATAAATCAGATTGAAAATATTATTCTTTCGTGCTTACGGAGGTAGAGTTTTGATCATTGTCTAACTGAATCGATTTGTTCTCACATTTGGTCGTATTGAGGATTTAAGTGGACAGGATTAATGAAAAACATGTGAACTCGTATCGTGTGAACTATGGACATAAAAATAGCTAAATTTTGAAACAGGAAAAACAGATTTTGTGAAATTGTCATTTTTGTTCATAAAATTGATAAAAATGGCCCATCAGATATCGAGATGCTTTCCTACCGACCGTCCCTATAAAACGTCAGGGAAATAAGCGCCCCACGCCAATGTTGGCTTTTGTAGAAATTTTCACAGGCCTGCAGCATACAGATTGTAAGGTCTGTTCTTGACCAAATATGGCGTGTCTCATAATGCCACAAACTGGAAATACATAGCCACATCTCTTCTAGTCACAGGCCAATATTCTCGCTGCTTCAGACATAAAATGGCAGACAACACTGTAGAAAAACAACGCTTTGTGTTCCGTAACCAATTCACTTTTGTACATAGTGACTTTATAGTGATTCATTTAAATTGAAATGGAACGAACATTTGTTTGTTAGGATCCAGTACAAATGTTGGACCATACCGTCGACATTACTTACTAGATTCTTTATATATATTTATATATACATATATATGTGTGTGTGTGTGTGTGTGTGTGTGTGTGTGTGTCACATCTGGAAAGTTCTTTTTATTCATGAATTACAATCAGGTAAGATGTTGTATACAGGTGAAAGGCACGTCAATTTGTTGGTCAATTCAGTTTATTATTCATATTACACATGAATAGAAAGATATATTTATTAAAAAATGGTTTTACGTTTATCATCAGGGTCGGCGTGATATCATCTTACATGGCGACATAATAGGGGGTGATGAACTCGCAATAGATTTTAGAGAACTTTTTGTCGCATATTTGAAAATATTTTTCATCAACCTCCATCGCTCAAAACTCTTTGTTATGAGTTTATTTGTCAGTTGTCGATATTTTGCACGAAATCGTGCTCTTAGGAACAGTAATTTGAATATATATGATACTTGTCTTCTTTTCGTAAGTCCCCTAACCAGTTTTGTAGAACAGATATGAGATACGCACAATTTGTACTTGTACAAATGTGAACATTTGAGTGAAATTTTGAAATATACCTTGCATCATTCTGGAAATATGAATCCGATTCCTGGATTACCTATAAGATATATCACATACTCGGAGGCAATGAAATACTATGTAGTGAGTTACTGTTTGAACTGTTATTGGGTTACATCTTTTAAGTCTAATCATTTTGCCGAGTAGACATCTCGGGTTGTAGTAGGACATGTGTACTTATAGCACATTACCTTTACCCGAGAAATAGGTGACCTTATGATAAGGGTGAAATATTTAAAATAGTTCTAGTGTACCCGGAGTAAACACAATGGATGATTACTCAACTTTGCTTTTTTTTAGAGTTACATGATAGTTGTTTGTTAAATAACAGGTGATAAATGACAACCATTTTGGATATTAGTTTAAACTGTATTTTATTTTGTGAAATGAGTACAGTACAAAAGCAAATATGCATTTTGGATTCAGAAACAAGTACAATGTACTTATATTAATCTGTCTCCGTATCTAATTACATGAGCAATGGACAGCACTGACAACATAATGTAATTAAGTAGGTGCTTAAGTTCAGGGAAGGGGAAAAGAAAGGGTGCATGGGTTCAAAGGAGGAAACCGTTGTAGGATGACGAAGCAAGAGTTTAGGACTGCTATAGATCTATATTTGATTGTGGTTCACTCAACAAAGTACAATATACCACAACCAGGTCAGTACTGTAATTGAGATTACTTCGTAGTATACACAAACTCACTAGTTACGCTAGAGCTTAATTAAAACGTTTAGAACGGTTAATAAAGTTTTGGACACAGTCAAAAATATTTTCATTGTACTGATCTGGCATATCAGGGTTACCATATAATAAGGTATTAACATTAATGTCGGGGGGTATGTTACTGAAGCATTGAATTCTGATATGATGGTAGTTAGGGCACTGGAGGAGGAAGTGTTCAGTAGTTTCGTCGGACTGGTTACATGAACATAGAGAGTTGTTTACAAGATTACGAGAATATAAGTGTGCGTTTAGTGAGCTACAGTGCATCCTAAGTCGAGCATGGTGAATCTGGCCGTGTCTAGATTTACAGAAGTAGTAATAGTTAGGAACAGTTGTTATATCAGCATTTAGGTATCTTTTTAGAGTAGTAGTAGACGGATTACGTTTTATGGCATCGGGGAGTGCATTCCATAGATCAACAGAAGAAGGTAGGAAAGAGTCTTTAAAGAGATTAGTTCGGCATGGAGGTTGGTAAAAAGAATCGGCTCTCCTTGTGTTATAAGAGTGGATGTTAGAGTGACGTTCAGGAAGCATGCTGGTTAGGTAGGGAGGGCACTGACCATGAACAATCTGATGAAATTTGATAATTTTATGTTTTTCCTTCTATTAACGAGAGTATCTAAGCCGGATTCTAAATATAAGAGGTCATGACTGGTGAGTTTTGTAGCTCCAGTCATGATTCTAGCTGCCTCAAGCTGGATGTTTTCTAGAAGTTTGCTTTGGCCTAATGTTATATTGTCCCAGATAATATCTCCATATTCTAATAAAGGTTTAATATAAGAACAGTACAAAGTTTGAAGAGATTTTCTGTCAATGCTAAATTTGAGTGACCTGAGGAAACTGAGTTTTGTATAGGCTTTACTAGTGATTTGTTGTAAATGTTCAGTCCAATTTGCGTTAGCTGATAGAGTGATACCTAGATGTTTGTGACAAGTGACTTCGGTTAGTGCAGTATTATTCATAAATAAGGAGGGTTGAAGCGGTTTATTAGCTTTTTTACTTACTGTCATTGTTACGGTTTTAGAGGGGTTAAAATTAACAAGCCAAGTGTTAGACCATTCATTGATTATACTAAGGTTATTATTTAACAAGTTAGCGCTCGTTTGCGGTGATTCTACGATGACATATAGAGATGTATCGTCAGCAAACAACTTAATATTGCAATTTATATTACAAACAATGTCGTTAATAAAGATTAAGAAAAGTAACGGACCTAGGATCGATCCTTGGGGGACACCTGCTGAAATATTGGTTAAATGGGATTGTCTACCATTGATTACGACACATTGACAACGACTATGCAAATAATTAGAGAACCAAGTAAAGAGATTTCCAGTTATACCAAAAGATTTTAATTTGGATAGAAGACCTCGGTGCCAGACCCGGTCAAATGCTTTGCTTATGTCACAGAATACCAATCTTATTTCAACACCTTTGTCAAGATTGGAAAAAATGTCATGAGTAATAGTTAAAAGTTGATTAATAGTGGAATCGCCAGATCTAAAGCCGGATTGGTAGGGTGTTAGAAGAGATTTATCTATGAGAAAGTTATAGACATGTTTATAGACACATCTTTCCATCAGCTTGCCAACAATAGACAGCAGAGAAATCGGACGATAGTTACTAATAATTGAGGGGTCTTCTTTTTTGAAAACTGGCGTAACATGGGCCTTTTTCCACGAAAATGGAAAGGTACAAGAAACGAGAGAGCAATTAAATAATAATTGTAACGGGTAACTTAGGATGTCAGCGGCTTCCTTGATCATTCGAGGATTAATCATGTCGGGTCCAGCCGCCTTTCTAGTGTTAAGAGAGTGTATCGCGTCAAGAACGTCTTGTCGGGATATAACTATGTCATTGAGATTGTGAAGAGATTGAGGTAAGTCAGGGGGGTGGGTATTAGTATCGTCGATAGTAGATTGAGAAGAAAAGAAAGTGTTAAAAGCATTAGCTTTATCGAGATCGTCGTCTAAAATCTTATTATTTACAGAAAGAGGAGGAATCGTCTTTTTTTTAGAAGAGTTAGACGTGAAGCTATTAACAATTTTCCACCAATCCTTTGCACTAGTATTCGTACTGTTATTTAATTTATTGTAAAGTTTGTTGAAGTAATTACATTTGGATTGGCGAATAGCATTAACACAAAGATTTCTAATTTTTCTAAATTTAGCCCAATCATCAACTTTTCCAGATTGCTTAGCCTTACGATGTAAGTATTTCCTTTTACGCATCATTTTCCTAACAGTATTAGTTAACCATGCAGGAGAGTTATTTCGAACAGTTATAGTGTTGAACGGTATACATAATTTGGCTGTATTAAGTATAATGTCAGTAAGTCGGTCAGTGCTTCGGTCTATGTCACTACCGTCTATGATAGAGTCCCAGTCGATTCGAGAAAGTCTGTCTCTATAGTCGTCGTAATTACCATGATCGTATAGCCAAATACTACGTTTGAAACATGGTTGGGTAGGTTTAGATATATTAATGCTACCAAAAGTAGGACAGTGATATCTCAAGGGCTGATCGAGAAAACTATCACCAACATGACAGCTACTGATTAAAGATGGGTCATTTGCACATACTATATCAAGGAGGGAGGAAGAGGATTCTGTGTAGAAGGTTGGACTGGCGATGCTCTGTGAAAGATCGAAAGTACTTAATAGGTTGCGTAGGTGCATGGAGTGACTATTGTCACTTAACAGGTTGGCGTTGAAATCGCCAGTAAGTATAATGTTAGGAATTCCAGTGTTGAAAGCGAGTTCAATGGAGTGGGCAATATAATCCCAACAGGAGACAGGTGCATTAGGAGGTCTATAAAACGTTCCGTATAAAATTGATTTGCCAGATATACTTATTTGCAACCATACGCACTCAACTGTGGGTATTTCAAGGTCAGACCTACGCTTTGAAGATAAGTTGTTGCTAACATATACAGACACTCCTCCTCCTTGTCTATCTGGTCTACAGTAGCAATAAGGGGGAGAAAAACCAGGAAAATCTGAATTTGATGTAGTTTCGTCAGGACTGAGCCAAGTTTCAGTAAAAGATAGGATATCAAGGTTATATAATTCACTAAATAGAATATCGTATTTCTGCTTTATACTCTGTACATTAAGGTGAACAAAAGTGTACTTGGCTTCGTTGAGCAATGTTGAAAAATTAGAGGAACACGAAGAAAATGATGTTAAGTCAGACTCATAATCTCGTGGTCCGGGATTGCATTCAATATCGCCACAGAGAAGGAGCAAGAGTTGAAGAAGTAATAAATGTATACAAAGGTTGGACGAAGAGGATAGGACACTCGTCAATACTTTTGACGCACGATTGAAACTTTGGTAGAAATCATGTTTCAATTTACTTAAGACTTGTAGTGTGTTGTTTATAAAGCGTGAAGCTTGTAACATACATAAGAGAAGTAACATGTCAACAAGTTGAGACCTGGTTAGGTAAGTATAATAACACGATCGGGAGTAGGCGAGATATACGCGATTGTAAAAGAGACCTATCCGGACACAATAAAGACTATGACAGATAGGCATTCAGGTTACGGATGAGGATCCTAAGAGGAATAAAAGTGTGTTTAGTGTCGGGATAGAGTAAGAAATGATGCAAACGACGCGATCGGTAATATTGGAGGACATAAGCTCAACAGTTTCCATGCGAAATACGAGACAGGGGAGGTAATTGTGCAGAAAGAGAGGAGATAGGGATGAGGAGAATAACGAGATAATACTATGTACATAAATGATGGACAAAGATTCCATCATGAGACATGGGGGATACAGGTGCACGAGAGAAGGATGACATACAATAGGGAAAAAAATATATATATATATATACAATTGTAAGTATATACAATTATGATAAGGTAACGCTACAATACTGACATGAGTAGATGAGTACATTATGGTGTACCATAAATACCGTCATAACTACATTCATCACGCCATTGTATATGCCATTACATAAAACAGAATAATGTGATCATACGATTAATGTATACCTTCGTATTTAAATTCTAGATACATTTATTAATCTATATATGTCAAAATATAACATCAGACGTATATCAGTTTCGAATAATATAATCATGTGATATGTATTTACCATCGTATTTTTTTCACGTCTCTGAATGTGTCGATATCACAGGACAGTATAATGTAATAATGCTTTAGAAACATGTATGTATCTGGTCATGCATAGGTACAAAATAATGTGATCACATGATAGATATATATATATTATATGTAGAGATCGTAAGACAAACTAATGTAATAAAGTGAATCAATCATGATATACCAGAATCACCATCGTACATCAGGTAGAGAAGCGTTTTGATGGCTATCACAAGTAGGATAAGGTAATTACGTGATAAATACGTACCATTATACAAGTAAGGGTACATAAGTATATGATCATGTAAACCTCGTGGTAGCAATACCCAGTTAAAGATTCTCTCATCTATGTATGTGTCAATATCGATAAGACAAACTGAATTGTCTAATCAGTGAAAATATATATACCAATATCCGAGTAAAGGTACAGGATAATATGGTCACATGACTAGCATGATTATTTCACATTGTAAACTAATGTAAACCCGTGGTAACAATAAACCATCGCGTCTCGAGTATACATGCAGTATCACGTCTATGTATATATCAAAAGCACGTCAGAAGTCACGTGATAGATATACTGCATACCATATTACAAGTACAGTATAAATGCAATAATTACGTAAAATATATGTGCCATTGGAAATCAAATTACAGAATAATGTTGACGCTTGACAGATTGAGAAGAATCGTACGCTTTGTCAAGTTTATGTACTAGTGAAGATCATGAGACGGAATTATGTAATCTTATAATAAATATCTACCATCATACAAGAATACATGTGAAGACAGAGTAATGTGATCACGTGATGAACATATACCCATATAGGTATATTTAAGTACGGAACAATGTAATCACGTGATAAGCATACACCATCATGCAGGTGTAGCTACAGAATAAAGGAATTGAGGGATAGTTGAAGAACATCTTAGTTCAAGTATAGATTCGATAACATAGCAAAAATACTGTAGTCACATGAAAAATGTATATCATCATATACCATGTAGGTATAGTTTTGTACGGAACAATGTAATCACGTGATAATCATACACTATCGTGTATGTATAGCTACAGAATAAAGGAATTGAATGATATTTGAAAAAAAAAACATCTTAGTTCAAGTATAGATTCGATAACATAGCAAAAATAATGTAGTCACATGAAAAATGCATACCATCATATACGATGTCAATAAAGTATTGTACAGAACAATGTAATCACGTGATAATTATAAGCATACACTAATGTGCATGTATAGCTACAGAATAAAGGAATTGAGTGATAATTGAAAAACATCTTAGTTCAAGTATAGATTCGATAACATAGCAAAAAATAATGTAGTTACGTGATAAATGTATACCATCATATACAATGTAGGTATAGTTTTGTACGGAACAATGTAATCACGAGATAATCATACACTATCGTGCATGTATAGCTACAGAATAAAGGAATTGAATGATATTTGAAAAAAACAACATCTTAGTTCAAGTATAGATTCGATAACATAGCAAAAAATAATGTAGTTACGTGATAAATGTATACCATCATATACAATGTAGGTATAGTTTTGTACGCTATCGTGCAAGTATAGCTACAGAATAAAGGAATTGAGTGATAACTGTGAAGTATCTTAACTCAAGTATAGATACATTTGTATAATGTATTCAGTTGTAGATGCTCGCTAACATAGCAAAAGAAAAAGAAATAATAATAATAATGTAATCACTAAGTAAATTTATACCATCGTACCTCAATGAGCTGTTGATACATGTATCAAGACCTTATAAACAATGTACATTGTTATATAAGACAGAATATGAACACGTGACAAAAAAACGTTCCGTCAGAGGTAAAATCAAGTTCAGATCATTGTAATCGCGTGGTAATTATACATTATTTATGCCTAAATCGTAGGACAAAATATTTTTACCACATGATGAATAAATTCCGTTTTACATCTAGTATATGCATGAAGTAGAACAAGGAAGGGACGTCCGTCAACGTCCACGTGCTAACAACGACGTTAACAATGTAATGAACTAGGTGACAATCACATGCCCGTAGGGCTCAAGTTCAGATTCCCTACGGATGTTGTGGATTTTAGACGCCTTGTCTTTGATAATAATTTTACCGTTTGTAGTCCACGTCTGGGCGATTTTATTGGCTTTCACTAAATTTCTCGCGAGAAATGCTAACTTTCCTCGGTATTTTGTCAGATCCTCGTTGACAGAGATAGACTTGTGGGACGGACTGTTGCGAAATCCCTTACTCGTCTTCAGCAGCTGGAATTTCGCATCCACGGAAGTTAGACGGACTATAATCTGGCGAGGCTTGTCTCTCGTATGGTCTGGTTTGCCGAATTTTCTGAAAATGTACAAGGAGAATAAGACCAGATAGGTGATTTAGTACTTGTAGGAGACATGTAAAATTTGCAAACGGTAGATAAGTTCTAGGGAGATGATTACGCATTGATGAACTTTTTTTCTTTGTTACTGTATACAGCAACTAACAAGTCATGCATATCAGGTTGATGGTTCATTAACCCTTAATTTACTATATTTCATAATTTTCAATATGAGATCATTTTATCAAAAAAAACTTGAATATATTTATTCTGAACGGCGATAGTATCCAAATGAATTAAAATGTGTCGTGCAGGTTATGGCAAATCTCGGGGACTGAAATCCAGTTGCAGTGTCTACGACCTGCTATTTCAAAGGATTTTATTTAGGTCAATACCGAGAATAGCATATACAACACCCCATCATACAATCTGTTGTCTATTCAGAACCTCTCGGGGTCGTATTATGTTCGCTAATGGTAGCAAATATATGAGACAAACGAAGTTATAAAAGTTTTTTATAAAAATATCCTTCACACCATGCTAATATTCTTACTTTGTCGTGATGGGGAATAAGCAGGAAACTTTGACATCACCATCTTTACAAAATTGTTAATCAAAATGACAGATAAATTCATCACAATTTGTGTACCTAAATGATTGAAATTTTCATTTCTTATTGTTAAAACAGGAAGTAACACTGGAAGAGGGGACTTTTGTGTACGATGCTTGGAAGGAGCCCCCTTTCCCAATTTATTTCGAATTTTATTTCTTCGATGTTCTGAATCCAGAGGAGGTATCTACATTGAATAAGAAAATAGAAGTAAAACAACGGGGTCCATATACATACAGGTAAGACATCTCAATAGTAACTGGTGACATAAACACATAGACAAGACGTCACCATCATACACATAACATGCACATACAGATAATACGTCATTATAGTTAATACATACACATAGACAAGACGTCACCATCATACACATAACATGCACATACAGATAATACGTCATTATAGTTAATACATACACATAGACAAGACGTCACCATCATACACATAACATGCACATACAGGAAATACGTCTCCATAGTAACTGGCAATATAAACACATAGACAAGACGTTATCCTTAAACACGTAACATGCACATACAAATAATACATCACAATTATACACATAACATGAACATACAGGTAAGACGTCTCTATAGTTAACATAAATATACAGACAAGACGTCATTATTATATACATAACATATACTTACAGACAAGACGTTACCATTGTAACTGGTAACATATACATACTGATAATACACAACGACCTGTCATATTTTTATTGACTGTTGACATAAGAGCTAGATAAAGTCTACCTGTTCGTTGAGTAAATGCGATACGCTACGTGACAGTTTCTACAGGTCAATGCCCTGGGACTGTGACATAATCCAGAACGATTACTTGCATATTTAGAACAGCTGAGGAAGAAATCATGCTACAAAATTGTACATTACTTTCAATTAACACTTATACTTCAAGATATTTCTTAGTTTATTTCTTTATTGCTACTCGGTAAAACATACTAGAAGAGGGGACTTCAGTGACTTTTGTTAGAGGTCACCATAGTAACTGATAACATATTCATACAGGAAAGGTGTCATCACAGTAACACTTAATATAGACATACATGTTATACGTCTCCATAGAATCATGACACTTTTACATAAAGGTAAGACATTACCGTATTAACACATATATACGTACAGATACATATACATAAAGATAAATAACATGTTTATACATACACACAAACACACAGTCACCATAGTAACAGGTAACATATACAGAGATAAGATGCCACATAGTAAACAATGTAATAGGTGACATATAAATACCGATAAAACACAAATATATGAAAGGAATACAGTTCCATTTCACATTTACATCCACTAATCATGTAGCTGAATTCTATCGAGATGAACGTGATTTAAACTAAAAAGCATTATTCATTGCAGCCATTTTGAAGGTGGGTCTTCACCGTTTAGATGCCGTCAGTTAAGATGCGGCAATGGTCAAGAGATGGGTGTCATCTGTCCTAACATAAATTGCAACTCTTCATGGCTAGATTATATAGAGACATAAACATTCTATCGTAAATATGAACTTCAAGACAGCTAAATAATGGAAATGGTATTCATTTTAGTTAAGTTAAAATAAGACCAAATAAAAGTGATTAAAACACGACCAGTAGAAGATTTAAATCTGACATTTTGATCATTGTGACCTATAGCAAACCGATGACCAGCGTGTAGGACATTAACACTAACGTTGGAGTGTACAAAACGGTACGGAATATTTCAATGTACGCTGAGGTAGATAAGGTTGAAGATAGTATGTAGAAATGGTAAAAGTATTATAGGAATGCGTACACAAGGATATAACAATGCACTGAAGTCGTTTTGGAATTTTCCCAATAAATGTGTTCGCTGACTGGCATATTCTGTAAGAGACTATTTATTGATTGAGACGGGACTGGGATAGATTTTGATCTGGTGAATTTCCTGCCTTCTTTGAATTTGAACCCTGAATCTCCTGCCCTGCCCGTTTCTTCAATACACGATGTGTTGCAATTCTTGTATTCAATCTTGTATTCACATTCTACAATGCTCTCTTTGGGTATTTGTAATCCTTAGGATTGACTCGGATATTTAAGAGAAACTTTAGGTTTCATATCTGTTGTAAATCAATGACCACGGAAAATCCTCTGAATAGTTTCTTACATGTGACTACCTTTCCTTTCATTTAATCTTTTTCAATGTGATTCGTCCCTTGGTCTTTTCATTGCTTTCATCAGAATCTTCGTTTACCCTCTAGTTTTCCAGTCAGTGTATACATATATTTCTATGGTCATATGGACGTGACTTCTGTGACAATAGTATCACATCAGTTGAGCAAAATTTCGACAAAGTCCAATTTCTGGTGTAAGGAGTGATGTGATCGGAAGTTGAGGTATTTTCTTCAGTAGTTCCAATATCTCATCGACATGTAGTTTCCACAAACAAATGCTTGCTACGGGAACTTTATTCTCTTTTTCCTCGGTGACCCATAAATAGGATGGTCACAATCGGAGACACTGGGCCGTTCATGTCTGTGACAAGCAGTTGCTGATAGGAGGTATCTCGGAAGACAATGTGTGTTGTTGTAAGCACAGATTCTAGCAAATTCATGATGTCTCGGAAATGAATACTGGTGTTCTTTCGCCATAACCGAACTTGCTCTATGTCACTCAGAATGATACCAAGTGCTTTGCGGGTACCTCCATCACTATTGTAGCCAGGCGTTCGGGATATCGTGTTAGCACTATCACCAGACTTGCTGGACACTTCCAACAAACGGGATCTGTTTCTAATCGTCACCGGACAGGGAGACCAAGGGTGACGACTCAGTCCCAAGATCGCTACAAGCGGGCAAATCACCTTCGTAATCGGACCTAGCCTGCAACCAGAACAGCAGCTGCCACCAGAGTAAGAGGTCGCCTACGTGAACATGGCATTAACTGCCAACGTCCTTTAGGACCTATTCTCACTCAGCGCCATCGACAGCAACGTCTTCAATGGACAAGGCAACATCAACGACGGCGTCTTGTTGACTGGCGACGAGATCTCTTTTTAGACGAGTCTAGATTGTTGTGTCCCGCAGGCTTACAGAGGGGTGGCGGAAGCGTGATGGTATGGGAAGCCTTCAGTTATCACCATCAGACACCTGCTGGTGGAGCTTCGTTGACATTGGCACAGCTGGAACAGAGACTCATCCATGGATGGAACAATTTGCCCCAGGCATTCTTCCAACTTCCCAGCAAATCCATGAGACGACGCACAGCCTGTATCAATACCCAAGGCGGACACACGCATTATCGTCTGATTTTTTTCTGTCATGGAGGTACCTTCATTAAATAGACAATAGAAACTGTAAATTTGATGAATTGTAATCTAGTCACATTTAGTTTAATTGCAATTTTAACGAACTATTGAATAAATCAGAAAAAATCAGTTCCTGGTTTTGATTTCCTAGAATAGCGTATCTTAAGTCGCACTTCTTTTTTGGCTGAGCATTTATATAGAATCTAGAATGTAATACGACGGTATGGTCCAATATTAGTATTGGATCCTAACAAACAAATGTTCGTTGGATGCGTATTACTGGAATAGATTTGTTTAATACGATTGGTACGATCAATTCAGTAATAAGGACAAGTGAATTGTCAAATTTTCCAGGCAATCTGCCCCTTATCAAGACACAAATATTACGTAAATAACACCACATACAAAGGACGAAAAAACAACAAAGTTCGATAATCCCCTCCGCCGATGGACGCCGAAAGTCCTTGAAAGGAGGTAAAAAACCATCCCAAATTGTTGTATGAAGGATGGTAATTTAAATATCAAAAAGGTTCAATATCAATCTTGATATGTTGTGTACGGTAGCCACTGAACAGATATGTGATCGCAGAGAAAAAGAAATATCGTGTCGCACTCCGAGGAAATGAGTTCACCTTTCATCTTGCCCCCACTCTGAATAAGGATATATATGCCGGTAATGTCCTTTCCTCTAAACACGGACTTACACGTGTAGATTTGATTTTATTTATTTTGCGCCATCGCGTTGCCCGAGATTTTACGTGATTTGAAAAAAGACAAAATCGTCGCCTCGTCAATGCAGGATCACGGACGTGTCGTAGTTCCTCTTCTTTCCTTTGCTTTAGCAGTGACGACATATAAGTTCGTCATACATTTTGTCTTCAATGGTAATTAAAATGTGTCCGTCGCGTTGGATTTTTTATCTGTCTCGTCTCTAATTTTCAAATTGGTGTATTTTATCAATTAGAACGTCCATCTGTTTCCCGATGTTGATTTTTAAGATATCTAAATTAGAATCCAACCCCTTGTGCGCAAAGCCAGTTTTTGTTACATTCAGCCTGCAGGAGTTAGTTTCATTTAGTTTACGAATCGTACTACGGCTGACTTGGACATAACGCCAATATTGGGTAAGCACTCTAAACGTATGTCCTAAGGTACAGTGGCTGCCTGTGTATAAGAGTTGTAGCTCAGAAGGTGTTGTTGTAAAAGAAATACTAGTAGTGCCTCTTCGTTGTTAAATACATAATGATAGAGTCCATTTTGGTTGTTACGGCGGACCAGTGATAAACCTAAACAAAAATGGAAAACACGGACACAAAGACAGAAAGGTAGACAGATATAACTGATGGACAATCATTTGGATATACCGGATCACAACATAGGTTATGATGCGTATTACTCCGTGTGATGGATATAATCTAGCAAGTAATACGGTATATATTATGGTGCAATTAGTAATATAACACGTGACAAAAGGTACTTATATAAAACACGTGCTTATCATGACGTATAAAATCGTGACTGATTATAGTGATAATTGACCACACACACCATCTTGTCTTGATATATAGCGCCAAGTTTATCAGCGTCCATTGAGTGGTAGATATGTAGGCAGATCACGGGATAAACATTAGTCACCTAGACTGAGTATGATGTAACGGTTAACCTTTACGAAATCTAAGTTAATTAAGTAGACAGGAATTTCAGATAAAACTTAACAAAGTATTGAAGTTTTCCCGTGTTTGATTTAACTTCATGCTGGGTTGTTGTATATAGTTAATTAATAACCGAATTTGAGCATAATTTAAAAGATTAATAAAGTATCGGACATGTGTTACCATTCCATATACAATTTTTTTTTCTCTCTGTTTTTTGTTTTTTTTTGTTTTGTTTTTTATTTATTTTCTTTTTGGTTTGTTTTCATTTTGCTAGCTTAAATGAAAAAAAAATGGAAATATCTGACGATTTTCAATAATCACATATGATTTATGTAATAAAATTAAAGATCCTTTTCAGCACATGACAAATATTTGAGTAAAATTTTCATTTCATGGATCTCAATTGTTATTGTACAATGCAATAACTCAAATTCGATAGAAATAGAAGAAAATATGAACGGAGACTCTTGAAAAAGTACAAGGTGTTCCGCATGAGAACGAGTTTTGCTTCAATGACTACACCCGCCATGTAAATCTTGGTCAGTCTAAGTAAGTAGTGTTACATTCTCAAATGAGAACAATATATACAACAACGGAACTTCCTCAATGTTGTCTGTGTAGAATATTATAATATTCATTACTTTGAATGTTTTTGTTTCGACATGATTTTAGTCTGATTATCATTTTTCCTATTGATGTTAATAAAACTTGCTATCAAACTATGAATTATATTTTTCGGTGATTATGAGGGAATAGCAACCTGCAAATCTGATAAATACGTTTCATAGAAATTAACCAAACTGAAGAAACATTAATTTGGACTGTCACATACAATTAATTGAACATTTAAAACATTTTTAGACACCTCAGTGTTTATTTCAGATATTTATCGCAATACTGCTACATGACACCTACACGTTTATAAAAATATCGATGTTACATTGCAATCACTCATATATAATACATTGTATACTAATTTTTATCATTATCACCCAGAAAAATGAAACGTTAATAATTTGATATGCTTGTAACGGTTTCCAATAAGGAAGAAATATATATAACAAAGCTTTCAGATAATGGTGCAATCCTCCATTGGAAAAAGATATCACTCTTTGGAAGATTGTGCATTTGGCACTTTTACTAATGCACATGTCTAGCTGCCATTGTATTGAATTTCGTTATAAAATAAGAAATAAAATCAATATCAAATTCTTTTTCCGTTCGTGTTAAATACCGGATTGAAGGAAAAGCGCGTGTAAAAGCAACAAGGTGATTATGTTTGATCATTTGCAGATTGCGTTCGATTGTTATTGATAGTAGTGAGAAAATATTGTGTCAAATGTCAATTTCCGGTTTGAGATAGGGGTTACATTTATTTATTTATTTTTTTTATTATTTATTTATTTTATTATTTGTTTTTTGTTGTTTTTTTTTATTTTGAATTGTAAAATTATTTGAATGGTTTATTTTTTCTCTCTATTTTCAGTCTCACTTCAATAAAAAATAACATTACATTCAATGCAAATGGCACGGTGTCCTATCGTGAACCATACACTTATGTTTTTGATCGGTCGAGGTCAGTGGGGCCGGAGTCCGACACATTTACAACGGTCAACGTAATCTTGCTGGTCAGTATTACTTTCATCATTATAAAGCATAACACTCAGTTTCTCTATTGAAAATTTCATGGAACTTAGAAAAGAGGTAGTCAATTTTCTTAATCTACGAGGAAACAAACAAAGCCTTAAAAAGGTGGTCATTATTCTCTTAATCGTCAGATGTTATTATATGCAAATTTTGATACGTAAATGTAAATAATTGTAGTACCTACATATATATAGAATAGGTAAATAGCGTTATGTTCAGACCCTCATTTTTCATTCCAATTAATTAAAGTTCGTTTTTCCTATTTTTTATTTGATAAATCAAATTCGATTACAAAAATATACGTATCAGTATTGTTTGTATCTATAGACGAATCAGTACTCTTTGAGTCTTGAGACGTATTAGTACTGTTTGTGTTTCTGTAAAATTTCTTGCAGACCATGTTCAATACGATTCGGTATGAGTACGAATTCATCAAGGTAATGACAGAGTTATTGGCAGACTCAGTGAATGACAATAAGCTTTTCATACGCCTTTCGGTCCATGATATAATATGGGGTTATGAAGACACTATTCTCCTTAAAGTGAAAGAAGAACTAAAAGAGTTGGGCATCCCGTTTGATGACCATTTTGGGTTTTTTTACAAGGTATGTCATAATATCGAAATAAATGCTTTGAAAGTAAAATGTTTATATGTAAATATACATAGTTATAGGATATGAAATTAGTTTCGTTTCATATAAAATTTTATGAAACAAGTCTGAAATGTTTTCACTTTTCCGAGCCTTTGCGAACATTACTTTTGATTACGTAACCTGTTCAAAATTTAAACAGTCGTACTCTTCCTTACTTCTTACGTACAAATGCTGACACAATATTGCTTCGTTTTGCAGTTAAATAATACTGACGATGGACTTTGGACAATAGATTCTGGAAAAAGAGATTCAGCAAATAATTTTGATATTCGATTTTGGAATGGCAAAAGGTGAGCTAATAGAAACCTTATAAAAGCATATCAAAATGACAATTTTAAAAGGTCTCGAAAAGTGAGATATTTATGCTAATACTTGAATATTCGTAATATTTGAAAAGGTCCATTCACCATTCCCAATGTTCATATGATACTGTCCAGATTTGAAAGGAAATGTTCTCCTCTGTTTCAGTATGTTGGACTTCTGGAGCACAGAAGAAAGCAACATGATAAATGGGACTGGTAGGGATCTTTGTGTATTATATTTAATGTTATTTAGATACTGTTGTAAACTCATATTTCAATAAACATGATCATTTTTAATGCTTTTATTGACGCAGTCAAAACTCCCTTCGAAATTTCCCTTTGTCAATATGTCATGCTTATTATTCAGGGCCTGTAAAATGCGGGACCAAGGGTTATCTCAACCATAGACATTAATCGTTACGATTTATACTTACTTTGTTAATTAACAAGTGAAATGACAATGTTACAGGGAAATGTCAATGGTTAGTCAAAATTCAAATTCATAATCGACTGAAGAAAGAGGAAATTATGAACGGTCAAATTACACCAAGACACTGGGAAAATTAAGTCGTCAGACCTCGAATAAAAATGCTACTCCATGTGTTCTCCTTTATAGTGTTTAAGTCGTTCATATACAAACCGTACTAAAAGTACGAAAATATTGATAACGATCAAAACATAACCAACACTGATTAGATAAACATACCTTTTCATGCCTCTTTAGTAACCCTGTTTTTTTCCGCTAATGTCGTTTTACCTTTCTGCAGATTCTTTAACTTTGAGACTGTTTTGAACTTGTTTGTGTAGTCCATGGTGTTTTAATCAATTCTAATGGAAAAACTTATTAATCGCTACTGAAAACGGTCTACTTTTAAGTTCATTTATCGTATCCAAATGTGATGAAACTCATGAATACCGATGTTACATGTGGTATAGTCTGGTACTTTATCATTATACCAATTTTCTTATGACAGTGTTTAAATATCACATTGACACGTCGACCTTAGTTAACATGTTATTTTTCACATACAAGCAAGTTTCCCAAAAATGACTTCGCACTTTGCATAACCAAAATTGTTTCCAGCTTCATAAAAATGTTATTAGTTATATAATGCAATATTAAATACATGTACATGTTTTCCCAATGATGAGAGCAGTATCCTCTTCCAGATGTGAAGTTAATGTTCCGTTCTGTGTATTCTTTTATACGTAGTTGAAGGTGAACTTGTCTTCCTAGACTTTTAATTTTGAGGCAATTGATACCTGGCTTTGATCGGAAACCCGATGCCGGATACCGTATGTTGTGCAGGAAACACAATACTTTTGTCTAATTTTCGGAAAGAAATCACATTTTGGTTTTGATTAATCTTCTGTTCTTGGTTGTCTTTCCGTATACTCTACATTTATTACACTCGACCTTTCTCTACAGACTTATCTGTATAGGAGGATCGGGAAAAGAGAATGTCTGAATTGGAGGAGAAAGCATCGAATTTACTTAATATGTTGTATTTTATTTTCAGATGGTAATCTTTTCCATCCATTCGTTAAGAAAACAGATCACCCGCCATTCTTTTTTTCGGAGCTTTGCAGGTACGAAAACCATCAGACATCATATTAGATCAATTGTCCATTAATCACCCTGGTCGAGATGTATCTTGTTTGTGTCTTTGTCTGGGTGGTCGGTTGGCCTTTGGTAACTCGCCTTTCACTCATACGTGCGGGTTTGATATCCCGTACGAATTTGAAACGGTTTCCTCCCATTGTAAGACCCATTGCAAGCTTCCATCCAGGCCAACAGGGGTGATTAATATATGTTGAATGAACTCGGATTCTGTTATGTTACACTTCTCTGTATCTTGTTGAAAAATTCAATGCACGGTATTATTACGGTCAAACTTTATCTTCCCTGTATCCAGTTATAAGGTTATCGTTATTGTTTCTTGTTAAAAGTTTAACTTTACTCTACGTCGTTGAAACTTTAACTTCCATCACATTAAGATACCTTTGATGTTACCTTAGATCGATGACGGTGGATTTTCAGAGGGACTCCACGGTACAAGGTATAGATACCTACAGATTTACACATCCTCGTGACATATTTGACAACCCCGATCAAAACCCAGCCAATGACGGATTCTGTACTCCACTAAACAACTGTCCACCGAGTGGCCTGTACAATATCAGCGTCTGTAGGAAAGGTGAACAGTTCATGGGATAATTAAGAATTTAAAATGATTTATGCCAGAGTCATTGTTAACATCTTTTCTTCCAGTTGGAGTTTTACTTGCATTTTCTTTTGTTTTTTTTTAATCGATCAAATCATACAACAAAATTAGAACTTTTCAGTCTCGTTATCATAGTTATATAATTTCTGGGTGATATACTTGAACATGGATATTCGACTCGATCACGTGACAAAAGTTAGGCACCATTGTCAACCATTTAACAATTGCTTATTAATGATTTATGTGACATCATTCTCCTTGTCAATGCCTCGTTTTCTGTTTGTGACACTGATTTAATCTTTCTGTTATAGTATGACATTGATTTTAAGGTTCCCCGTTCTCCGTGCCAATGTCTCGTTTTCTGTTTGTGACACTGATGTAATCTTTCCGTTATAGTATGTCATTGATTTGCAGGTTCCCCGTTCTCCGTGTCAATGCCTCATTTTCTGTATGGGGATGACCGATTGATTAATGCAATTGAGGGGATGAAACCTGATGCATCCCTCCACGAAACGTTTATAGACATAATGCATGTAAGTAATAAAACATTATTCATTACCATCATGAAAACATTGTAGAGTCAATAAAAAGATGAAATATTCTATTCACCTTTTAGATGATGCTAGTATGCTTATCTGTAGTACAAAGGGAACCTTGAACAAAGGCGAAATTTAAGATACATGTATAATGCATTTTTAGATTAAAAAGGGCCAACTTTCTAGAAAAATAGAAACTCAGCAATAGAACAGAGATTCACCATGGGACCTAGAATTAATTACCACATCCCCCGAGATTCCAAAAGAGGTTTGCACCCAGCAAGACTCTGCGATTTCCTGGAAACGGGTTTATTTCACCCATTCAAGAAGAAAATTTCTGTATTCTGAAAACATCAATAACCTAACGTTCCGAATATGCAATAAACACAACATAATAAAAGTTTTCATTTTGATAAAAGATTCCAATTCATACAGAGATAGCGAGGAAAAATTAAACAGATGTACAGTTTCTACATATATATGGGTTAACTTTATACGTATTTATATTTGCAGGATATTGGATGTGTATTGAGAACGGAGAGGAAATACCAAATAAACATGCTTGTTAGAAACAATCCATCTTTTGAGTGAGTATTACTTTTTCATTTTATTGTTGCAAAGAAGGCAATATAGAAACAGATACATAAACGAATGCTACTAACAGCTATGACAGAGAGATTGATTAAACGAGAAACGTAACATAGATCAAAATAAAAGAAACGATAGGTAAATATTTCATAAGCGTTTTTTCTATCTTCCATTGGGTTTGAATTTTGTTGTCGGTCTGCAACATTCAACTGGGCGACCAGAACATATCTTTTCTCGTACAAACATATTTACATAGCATTACAGTTCAATATAATTTCAATAAGTCCATGCTTGTTTCGAATCAATCGTTAAAAGACGGTCTTAATGATGACATATTTTCAGAAGAGTTGTCATCCGCTTGCCCTTTACTATTGTGGAAATATTTGATATTACCGAAAATACTCATTGGTTCCATGGTTAACCATGGTGAGCTTACGTAATTAACCAACCTTTTATTTCAGAATTGTGAAGGATATCGAAGACGTTTACTTTCCAGTCTTTTGGTTTAACGAGGTAAGATGAAATAGCTGAAACTTAGATAGCCATCAACAGTTTTTGGTAAGGAATACTTAAGAACAGTTTCACCGAGTTTTAAATATTACTATTATATCTTACAAATACTTACCTTGTTCTCATTTGGGAACCTGACACTACTTACTTTGATTGACCAAGCTTTATATAGCAGGTGACATCGATGAACCAGAGGACCTTTCGAATCACTGGGTTTCTCTGCATCTTTTTCTGTGTTAATTTCTTTTTTCATATTTTGCCATGATGATAAGTCGATATTTGTATTGTATTTTGTTCTTTTACCACTTTTGTTAAGGTTGTTTTAGATGATGTCTTTTGTGAAGTACAATGATATGGATAAAAGCAGTGGTATCATGGATCGTCTATACGAACTATTGGATGTGATTAAGATTGGCCAATATCATTCGGACCATTCAAAAGAAAAGAAAAACGAAGTTTTGTTTAATTTCATATCTAAGATTTAGCAACCGCAAATGGGATAAAAAATTGACAGAGGTAACCTTGAGCCTTTGGGTATCCGAAACTTCACATAATGTATGCAGACTTTCTTGATAACAACCTACAAGTAGTACTAAACCAATTACTTGGATATAAGATACACCCAAGTCCGTGACTACGGGCATAAATTACTGTGATACCACTGACCTAGATATAAGATACACCCAAGTCTGTGACGACGGGCATAAATTACTGCAATACCACTGACTTAGATATAAGACACACCCAAGTCCGTGACTACGGGCATAAGTTACTGCGATACCACTGACTTAGATATAAGACACACCCAAGTCCGTGACTACGGGAAAAAATTACTGTGATGCCACTGACTTGGATATAAGATACACCCAAGTCCGTGACTACGGGCATAAATCACTGCGATACCACTGACTTAGATATAAGACACATCCAAGTCTGTGACTACGGGCATAAATTACTGCGATACCACTGACTTGGATATAAGGCACACTAAAGTCCTTGACTACGGGCATAAATTACTGCGATACCACTGACTTAGATATAAGACACACCCAAGTCCGTGACTACGGGCATAAATTACTGCGATACCACTGACTTAGATATAAGACACACCCAAGTCCGTGACTACGGGCATAAATTACTGCGATACCACTGACTTAGATATAAGACACACCCAAGTCCGTGACTACGGGCATAAATTACTGCGATACCACTGACTTAGATATAAGACACACCCAAGTCCGTGACTACGGGCATAAATTACTGCGATACCACTGACTTAGATATAAGACACACCCAAGTCCGTGACTACGGGCATAAATAACTGCGATACCACTGACTTAGATATAAGACACACCCAAGTCCGTGACTATGGGCATAAATTACTGCGATACCACTGACTTGGGTATAAGACACACCAAAGTCTGTGGGTACAAAGCACTTTTATACCACGGACAACGATATAAGATATGTCCAGGTCCATGGACATATGTATATCACAAGAAAGGAGATATACTAAAACGAAGCAATATAAGAGTATATTAGTCGTTTAGAAACGTATTAATCAGTAATTTTAACACGGGCAGAGTAACTTCATGTTGGATTTTTTCCCTTTCTCGATAGAGTACAATTGTCACGGATGACTGGGCAGATTTCATCAGATCGTCATATTTAACACCTGTACACATCGCCTCTTATATACCCTATATATCTATAGCTGTCGGGGTAGTGGTTACGTTCACCAGTTCTATCGCTATTCACAGACAACGAAAAAAGTCAAAGGACAAGGTAAGTATGTCATATGATATACCATTCATATCTGACAAAGGTAACTTCTGCCAGTACTTTGGTTGTTTACTGAACATTACATACGTCAAGAGTTCAGGTTATGTAGTTCTGGATGAAGGGGCAAATAGCTAGGTGGGGCCTAAAGAGTTTTAAAGAAATATGCACAAGTTCAGACGTACATCGAATTCCAAACTGTTGAATTAACCCTTAAACCTATTTCCTATTGGTCTTCTATATGCCTACTCTTCTTCTAAAAGCCACAGAGGGTTCTTTGTCTTGAGATAGCGGACAGTCCTCATACGGACCACCATTTTTTGTTCTGTCCGCCGGAGTATATGTTAGTAGTTAGCGGTAAGATTGGTGTCGATATGATAAGTATACATATAACATGTATTAGAAGTAAGTTTAAACAGAAGTCAAATTCAGTCCTTAGTTTAAATGTACGGTCTAACTACTCTCTAGATAACCAAATCTTGGTTAATTCCCTATCATTAATGTGTGTATTTGTCGCTTCTTATTACTACGCCTTAGCAGAATCGTTTTCACAAAATCACCCATTCGTCTTTGAAGAGCTGCAGTGAGGAAGTAGAATATTGGCATTAAACAAAAAGTGTCAATGTGTGTCTAATTTGACGTGATTTCGGTGCAATTCTTTGAACCAGGCCATAATTGGTTCTAGCTTCACGGATGTTCTTAACTGCATTGCATGTTTTGTAGGCTTCGTTTATTCAATTTTCTTTTCTTCATAGATGCAAGAAAACCAAGATGGCACTCCGTCTGAAAGGACATCACTTTTGATAAACGATGATGACTCTCAATCTGAAAGGACAAAACCTTTGGTTATTCAGTGATGGATGTTATATTAAGGATATCAATCATCTGAAAATTCATCTTCGCCTCACTTTTTCTGTTACAGTAATATTATGTCATTGGATACAGTATTATGATTGTTGACGTTGTTCATGACTTGATTTTTAACGGTTACATTAAGTTTTTAATAAATTGTTCAAATATGGTTTTATTACAAAAGCATTGATTTTCTTTCTTTCAATCCCCCCCCCTTTTCAGTTGTACGATACACTTTTGAAGGAACTCAAATCTGACGACTTTAAAGGTAATCATTCATATTAGCGAGGAACAATGCCTTTAAACAGAATACAAGCACAAATTTTCATAATATTTAGATAAAAATATATTATTAGTACAAGATAATGTGCGAAAAAAAGTAAACTTAAAGTAGACAGTATAACCTTTTCGGTCAAACAAACCGAATATCAATATTAGACCCCCAGTATGATTATGAAGTTTCCTGTAATTTCACCAGCAAAGCATTCATCCACGATATATTGCTCTTGTGGTTCTTTAATCGTCGAAGTCAAAATATTGTCCCTTTTCAATTCAAATTTTATTAGCACACTGACCCTGGCTGTTGATATGACTAAACGATATAAACCAAAACCACACCATACTAAACCGTCCGAGCTTCCGTTTGTCCTTCAGTGTTTTTTCTTGTCCAGACTCCGTCTCTTACACTATCTATCACTCGAACTTCATACTTGGTCCATAAATGTGGTGGTATGTATATCTTGACTTTGGAGTATAGATTCATCTCTTTGACCTTTAATATTAATTTCTCCTGTTCTATTTCTTACACTTCTTTTCAATGGAATTTGTACTGTGGGCATGGGAATCCCTATGTGAAATAGTGTTGTATATATCAAAAGTAGCATCAAGAAAAAAATATGCTCTTTCTCCTACATTGTCAATAAATGAAACATTACATTCGGAGCATGGGTTGAACTAGGGGAGGTGAAGTGTCATAATCATAAGGAGGTCCCTTTGACCTATATTTTGGACCTTGAGATTGAATTAAAGGTTTTACGGGTCGTCATATACCAAAAGTAGGTGGCTTTGACATCCAATGTAAACTAAGAATGGAAGATGCCATTGATTAAAATTAGCTTCTTAGAATCGGTGCTATCACTTCATTTGATTTTTTAATATCGCCTCCTAGAATTATAGATATCACTAAAATTTACAAGACTACCACCTAATGCTACATGGTGTCTCCAGAGGCGATTTAATAGCAAATCGGCAAAACTGATTTATATGCAAAGTAACTTGGGACTGTAATTGTCCGAGATGTGATTAAATGTTTCAAACATATGTTAAATATCAATTTAAATACCAGTAAGTCAACAATGTCATGACTGGAACTCAAATTCGATGAAGAGGTAGTAGAATATACCCACGAAATAGAATCGACTTGTAACATTTTCTCCTTATCGAGGATCATGTAATAAGAATGTGACGAAGGAACCAATTAACGAGCGTCGATAACATCTAACGATAAGGAGAAACAGAATATTTCTCCATGTGGTCATGGAGGCGACCATAACACATTCCCAGACTCCATCGACCTGTTTCTCTTGATACAAGGCGTGTTATCTGTATACGTCAGTAACAAACCTCATCAACAGAAAGGGACAGGGAAGAAGGAGCATCACCATCTCGAAATGGAAACAGCATAATGATAAGGTATAAGGAATTCAACACGCTTATCAAAAAATCAAAATTAATGTTTTTAAATTTGCTGAGTTGTGATATGTAGCATGCATCGAGGTAAGTAGCTGGTGTGGAGAAGTCTGCTATGTATTCTTCTTTCAATAAAATCAGGTGAGTAAATCTTATGGTCATGATCAATAATAAATTTGTTAGTTAAAGGCGTGACATTGTCAATGGTTCTAAATATAACAGAAAGTAAAAGATCTAGCAAGGTCTTTGTTACATGTTTTGATAACTTATTAGACAAACCTAGCCTCGCATGAAAACAAACACAGTTCAGACACTCATAGCCAGTTCAAGTGGTATGTCAATATTTATTACCATTTAGATCATGTCACCAAACTCAAAGGAACTATTATTGGCGAGAAATTAAAACTTGTCAACGATTTCGTCCTCTACACAAACGAGCAAAGAAAATGACATGGACAAATGTTCATTGCGTTGACACTAACATAAGTGTCATGTGATCAAGGGTGACTTTTGACCCTTTAACCCTGATTGATAACGAGAAATAGAACGGTTATGCAAAATATTATACTGACGGATAAACAAATCCACAAACGAATGGAGTAGGATTAGGTATTTATTCCGGAGAAAACAACAGCGCACTATCGCTCAGATAAATACACAAATAGAGCTGTAATCCTCACAGAGAGTCATTCTTCATTACGATCAATACAAACAAGGAACATTGCAAAATATAATCAAAATGGTTCTACATTAAATCTAGTTAAAAGGAATATTTGTAGTAGGTGGGATTTCCAGCAATGCTAATTTCCTATAGAGGTCGGCCTAAAGATTTGCCCACTATTCGAGACCGCTCACTGATACATTCCTTTGCGCCATCAAAGTTAGTTCCTTTGGCTTTACATTTAGTTTGAATTATTCGATGACACACTTGCTTTATTAACTAATTTCGTAACTTAATTACTAATCTATAAACACCGATTGCTACAAAAAAAAGGAGATAAAATATGATTAATTATGTTAACGAAATAGGAAATTTCGGACTATAAACTAAATACCAAAATACTAAAACAGTAAGTACACCGCCGATATTATTGATTTTTCACTCATTTTGTGAGAAAAACGACAGAGTTTGTGTGAACAAATGACATTTTGAATGTCTTCCCTAATTAATCCATTCGAAATTATTTAGCATATTGATAGTTTTATCACTTACGCCAACACTGCCCAAAGATCGAAACTTCACCACTATTTTCTACATTTTTAGGTCACTTGAGTCTTAGGGTGGCGTATTGCGATTCCCGTTTGTTCGGCGTAGTGCTGGGTAGGGGCCAGGGTTTGTTGTAGTTCTACTGAAGGAAAAATTACATTTTTTAACATTATTTACTTTTGCAAAAAGTCCAAAGCTGGTTAGGATTAATAATTTAAGATGACAGTTTTATGAGTCAAAAATGGGTCAAATAGACTGAAATTTCAAAAATTACATTTTTGAGCATAATTTCTTACAAAATGGTTCGAATTTGGTTAGATTTTTTTATTAGTATAAGCTGACAGTATGATGAGATGCACACATTGACCTTGGCTGACCCACAAGGGCTGATGGACTGGGCAAAAATGGGTCAAAATGACTGAATGTTCTACTGTTCCTAGATAAAACTAAGGCAACTATCATACTTGACGGTAGATATAACTGTATTCTTCAGAGTTCTAATCACAAGCTCCAGAGAATTTCTGTGACCATAAGAAGTGGAACTATTTGAAATCCATGAACATAACCCTGCCTGATGGTTACATTCTGGACACAGCAGGACCTTTTCCTGGAAGCGATAATGATGGGAAAGTTACCAAAGCCATCATGGATAGTCTCTCGTCACTGAAGAAAGATACATCCGATTAGATTATGCACATTGTGCAAGCTTCAAGGTCAAAGGGTAGCGAGTTCTGCACCCGTAATTTTTTGGTGGTCAAAGTTAAAAGGTCAAAAGTCACCATTTACCACTTTTTAAATAAAAAGTTAATTTACAAGATATCTTTGGAGGGTACATCTAGGAGTGTGTTTGTACTATAACAAATATATATATCGTACATACCGTACTGAGATTTTTGTAGACGCTGTGCCTCTATAGGACGCTGATCTGCGTTTATGGCCATAACCTGGATCAGCTGGTTGTTTCGTTGACAGGTTTCACTCCCTTTCAACAAATTTTATTGACAAAAAAGTAACACAAATTTAGTCAATAGGATCGAACACATTCCCTTAGGAGGTGACTAATGTTAAATAGATATAGGAAGGGAGATAACTCGTACAAAAATACTGGCACTTTCATACCTTACACACAAACATTTGTACATAATTTTTATTAGATTATTAGAATATAATATATAAACTATCATCATAATACCATAGAGTCGTTGACAGACACTGACCAAAGTCCAGGTGCATAAGTATATACAGTGGTCATAGCTTATATATACATTTCAATTTAAGAACAAAAAACAAAAACAAAACAAAAACAAAAACAAAAACAAAAATTGATTCCACACAATCCAAACAAAATATAACAATTAAGAATAAAATTCGTAGTAAATTAACATACACTGTAGTATAAACGGGCATTTTTCAGATATTTCAACAACATAATACAAAATTGATATTTTAAAAATAGTTTAACATTATTTCCATGACATGCCCACCATCATTTTTACACAATAGTAGTGCATTCTCGTGGTTTGGAGTGTTAATACCGCACGAAAATTTTAACTAAAAAAAAAAAAAAAACAGTCCCACACACGTCAAAAAAATTGAAACATTGAGAGATCTTCGCACAATAATGGTTTGAGTTTCATCCGTGCTAAGGCTTCTAACCAAGTTTAAATCAAGAGAAATTGAACTAAAAAAATGTAATTCTTTTCCATTCAGCACATTAAAAGGTCTATGCACTTTGTTTTGTCATTCAGGTAGTTCCAAAGAATGCAATGTACCACCTGTAACCACTCCTGTTGATCCATGAGACGTTGGGTTCACCATGTAGGCTGATCAATCAGTCGGAAAACCTCAAAAAAATTGCAACAAAAGAAATAACGGTGTTTTTCATCAAAATATATCATTAATTACTTGGGTAGAAAAATCGGCCGAAATCGGCAAGTGGGAAAATCGATTTTTTTTTGCATTCAATATATCGGCTATTTTTCTGCCGTAAGCGCGATACCTATGGGCTGCCGTAGATGGTTGCAGACGGCTGCAGTTATTTTATGACAAGGAAACAATTTATTATCACAAATGAGAAACAATAATGCTGAGCAACATGTCCCTGAATAC